ATTCATATCAAAACTAGGACATGAGCGTGAACAAACAAACAAACATAAAAGTAAAAGAATACCCATGAGATATTATTATTAATCAGAAAAGGGTTTCGAAAAACACACCCAAAACGATCTTCGGACAATTGTAATGCATTTGCAGTTATTTCAGCAACAAGACGTTCCCTTAGGTCTCCATAAGAAAATTCAATGCAATGTTGCAGTACACAACATCCACATTGATTTGTGGCGATGCTGTAACAGTCATCAGCTACTGCATTTAGAATATACTGCAGATAATAAACCAATGTAAGAAAATTCATTAGAACGTTGCTCGTTTAAACCATGATCTACTACTCCAAGAAAAGTAAGTCCTAATCTGCCTTCGAACTAATAACATACGACAATGTTGTTAGGTGTTCAAAAAGCCATTAGGACTGTACAACACAAACTAGTTACTAAAATTGAGAGTCTTTGTTATTTATTTGAGCTCATGATAAGTTACAGATTGCAAAGCACCCCATATCATGCAATTGAAATGATAGATTCCTCCCCAGTCATTGCTGCAATACACTCCATCTATTTTCATTCTCGACAAAAGTGGCAAGCTACAATTTCTTTCATGACCTGAAATTTCTAATGCTAGATATATGAGCGAACAATATATACATGCTAGCAAGATTTGTGAATGATGGTACATTGTTAAACCGGGATGACTCATAAATGCTAGTGAGGGAATATTTTGATCAAGTATATTATGCAGGAAAACAGGACTAGCTTGATAGAGAATGTTGTTTTATGGACTAAGAAGCAAAATAAAAATGCAGAAGGAAATAGTCATTTTTAAAGACAAGGACATACGTATTTTCTATAGAGATCATGGTATTTGTCAACTGTTCTTAAGAGGAAGCATTGGAAAGTTGCAAAATCAACTTGGAATTATATTCATGTTATTTCATAGCTGCATACAACCATGATAATGTAAATCATGGCCTTCGACCAATTGATTATGTCCTCAGCTAATATTCTTTAACAGTAACAAAAAGATACAAAAAACACTAATGTAAGACCAAGTTCATGAACTCAAAATGTAAATGGAGAACCTTATTGACAAAAACCCTGAACTGTAGAAAAATTACTTGGACATGGATTATAGAATAGCTTTCTATATTCCACTAAGAACCAACATGCTCAATCTCTTAGTAATTTGAAATCATCCCTTTGATTTATGTCTAAGCAATTATATCAGCAAATATGTAATGTGAACAGTAAACTTGAGCTTTTTCCTACTCATTAAAAACACAGTAAAA